AAGTCAGCCAGAGGAGGGACCGGTTGGCGCCACTGGCCAGGTTAAGGGTAAGACCCCTGCTGCTAACCACCGTCCCATCTGTAGATCATGGGTATGGTGTGGAAAAATCTTTCTGGAAGGCATTGTTTTTACTTAAACATGATCAAACCTCCACCTGAGTTACGTACCCCACCCCAACTTCACAGATCAACACCTTTTCACATGTCATTTCTAGAGTTTTAAGCCCAGGACTCTTGTACATGTAATTTCTAGAGTTGTGAGCCTTTAAAAGGGCAAGGGGGCCGGCGCGGTGGCTCACACCTGTAATCCCAGCACTTTGGGAGGCCGAGGCGTGTGGATCATGAGGTCAAGAGATTGAGACCATCCTGGTCAGCATGGTGAAACCCTGTTTCTTCTAAAAATACAAAAAAAAATTAGCTGGGCATGGTGGCACGTGCCTGTAATCCCAGCTACTCAGGAGGCGGAGGTTGCGGTGAGCCGAGATCACCCCATTGCACTCCAGCCTGGGTAACAAGAGCGAAACTCCGTCTCAAAAAAGAAAAAAAAAAGGCAAGGATTTTTTTGGTTGGGGAGCTCGGCTGTCAGGCACTTAAGCCACCGCAGCTCCCGGCGCAATCAATCACCACTGCCTTCCCAGCTCCATGTTCAAGAGGTTTGTTCTGTGGCCTTTCCTGCTTCAGCACCAGGGACGGTAATTAAGAGCCACAGATTCACTCAAAGTTGGAGACCCTTGGGAGAAGCAATGGTGGCTTCTGAGTTTCTTGTCTAGAGAACTAGGCTCCTGTCCCAGGCCTGCACCGAGAAGAGGCTCATTAAATACATGTTGGGCCAATGACTGTGTTCAGGGGGCCATGGAGGGCGAAGGAGGGGAGGATCCTGAGGGCATGAGGAGTTCAGTGTTTTGCTTTTGGGGCCGGGAACTGCTGGTGACATCTAAAACATGAGCCTGCAGCCTGGGGAAGGGGTTGGCATGGTCTGAGAGCTGTTGGTGAGAGCTGAACCACAGCAAATGGACTCTCCAAGGGAGAGCACGGTTTGCAGTCAGAGTTTTGGTAAATAAACAAAATGCATTGATTCCCGTGTTTTCATTTCTCTCCCGGACATACTGGCTCGAGAAGAGATGCCAGTGTCTCTGAAAGCTCCCCGCTCCAAAACACTGACAGAGGAGGAGACTGAGCAGAGACGAGGTGGGGTGCCATCTTCAAACAACGGAGGCTACCACGTGGGAGACACAAGCGCCTTCTTTTCCCTGTTCCAGAAGCAGAACCAGGCCTGGGGCGAGTTCCAGGGAGGCTGCCTCCTCTGGGCAGAAGGACAGGCTTTCTAAAGACACTGGTAGGGCAGCCTCTCCCAAGGGGGCCAGTGGCTCTGTCACGGCAGCACACGCAGAGGCCCTGGGGTTCCTGCACTAGGTGAGCACTAAGTTTAAATGTGTCCCCTCCAAAATTCAGGTGTTGCCAATGTGGCAGTGCTAAGAGATGGGGCCTTTCAGAGGTGATGAGGCGGTGAGGGCTCCTCCCTTGTGAATGGGATTAAGGCCCTTTTCGAAGAGGCCTGGGCAGTGTTCAGTTCCTTGGCCTCCTGCCTTCCCTGCCTGAGGATACAGCGATGCAGTGCCATCTTGGAAGCAGAGAGCAGCCCTCACCAGACAGCGGAAGCTGCCGGCACCCTAATCTTGGACTTCCCAGCCTCCAGAACTGTGAGAAATAAATGTATGCTCCTTATAAATGACCCAGTTTGGTTGAGAGTTATCCAACAATGTTTCAGAATTCTCCTTCCTGAAAAGCTCAAGCTGAACAAATACAAATGCTGTTCTAGAAGTTTCTCCCCCAGTGCTGGGCAGGGTCTGGGGCCTGGGTGCGAGCTTCTGGGACAAGGCTGGGGAAGACGGGGACATGGTCACCTGGTCCGTGGTAAAATTTAACCAGGTGACCAGCAACCACTGTGGATGAGGAAAGGTGTGAGCAGATTCCTAACAAAGATCCTGGTATCTCCCCAAGGGGAGATGCAGCAGCCACCCCCTGCCCCGCCTGCTTCACAACAGGTGAACAGCAGCTGGCCTTTCCCTGCGGAAGGTGCTTGCTAAGCACTACCCTCAGCATAACTTCAGGAGTCACACTTAGGATAACTCCTCCCTCCACTCACAGGAAGCAGGTCCCGAAGCTAGCTGAGCAGCCAGACTTAAACCAGAGAATTACAAGATTGGAGGGCTAAGTAACAGGTGAGGAAACTGAGACCGCAAAACCAACACCACAAAGCTAGGACCATAAAGTCATGCCATGACCAGCGTTGGGAAATAGTTACCTTGAACTCAGCATGCTTTCCATTCAAAGAACATGCTACACACGCCTGCTCTTTGTGACACTATAGGTCTCTGGAAATGCAAAGATTAATGCAAAGATAACTGTCCCTGTGGGGCGGAAGAAAGACACCAAACAGAAAACTACAATATGGCCCAGTGAGGTATATATAAGGGTGCTCTGTAGGAACAAACCCTCCCTCCCGCTGACTCTCTGGGCCCAACTGTTCCCACTTCCCTCTGGCAAGAGAAGCTGGATGCAGAAAGAGCTTTACTGGAAAGGTAAGAGGCACAGGGGAATTCAGTGCTGGGGACCTTCCTCAAATGATGGAGGCTGCAGGGAGGATAAGGCCTGGGTGGCGGGAGCTCAGGGTGCAGGCAGGGCTGGGCCAGAGCAGGAGGAAGGCCGGCCACCTGCCAGTACCAGGCAGTCATGACAGTGACCACCTGGCGGACCCAGCTGGTAAGTGACAAGGCCCAGCTAGAAGCAGTGAAGCAAAGGTCACAGGAAAGTGACCAACGTTTCCATTCTGTGAAAGCCCACACTGCACTCTACACCGTTCCCAACTCCTGCAGGAATTCAGCAAAGTGGGTGATGTGCCCATACTTCAGATGGGGAAACTGAGACCAGAGTCAGAATTCAACACAACTGATTTCACTTTGTTTCTCCAAACGGTGTCAGGCCAAATTGAAGGACCCCCCAATAGCATCATCTAGTGCCCATGATGAGGACTGAAACAGAGGTCGGCCATGAGCGGGACATGGAAGAAGGGTGCCCAACCAGGTTCTGGGCTGTCAGCAACATGACCCTGTCACCAGGCCAGAGCTGAGTCAAGCTGCAGCTGGACCAGAGCAGGTCAGGAGCTAGGGCTGCAGGTTCTGGGCCAGGAACAAGGACTTCAGGAGCATCAGAGGGAGGGACACCTGGCTCCACCCACCCCAATGCCTGGAGAAGAAAGAGGAAGTAGGCTTAGCACCACTGTAGTGTGGGGTTGAGGCTGAGAACAGTTCCTCTTCTTTCCCTTCCTCAAGCCTGGCTCATAACTGAGTTTTATGATTTTGCCTTTTCTCCTTGGTGTGTGTGACACCTCCCTACACAGGTCAGGGTGACACGTAGTAATACAGACGCCCTACAGATGAGGACATGGATGCTGCGGGACTGCCCGGGTCCCACGCTGGCTTTGGGTGGGGTGGAACCGGGCCTGGAGCCTAGGTTGTCAACTCCTGTCGCATCTTGGTTCTGCAGCCCTATTCCTGCCTGCTGTACTCCTGGCTCCTTTCTGGGGCCAGCTGGACAACGGTCTGAGTTAAAGTCCACCACTTTGTCCGATTCAGACTCCATGAAGGAAGTCTGAATGCCTAGTGGTATCTGGAACTCTCAGCCCTCAGGGCACAGCCCCTGTCCAAGCCCCTGCAACCCTTTAGAGACTGAAGAGTCCCAGCAGCCAGGTCAGTGTCCTCTGGTCATCGACAGAATGGAGTCCTGCCAAGGTGGCCTGGAACTGAGGCTTCTGTGTCCCAGCCAGCCTCCGTGGCCCCTGACCCTCGGACAAAAAGCCAAGGCTCTCTCTAGGAGGAGGAGGTGCTCCCACCTGCATCCGCCCACCTGCTCCACCCTGAAAACACTGAGTAACAAAAGGGACAGGATTTGAACAGTGTCATTAAATAGCGCTTCACAAAGCACTCTCCCGTGCACTCATCCCATCCTCACGACGGCTCAGTAGAGCTGGAATAAAGGCCCCATGTTCTAGATTAGAAGATCGAGACCCTGGAAGGTCACGGGGCTGGCCAAAGACACACTGAGAACAAAGGTCATGGCCGAGACTTGACCCCAGTTTTTCTGACTCTGAGCTCTGGTCTTTGTCAATCTCTCGCCTGCCGCCCAGATGTGAATCTATCTGTGCTCCTCCAGCCAAAGGACCGGGATGGTTTCCAGATTCACATGCACATGAGGAAAAACATCTGGATAGTTTAGAACCGCTTAGGTCCACAGCAGTGCCGGTCAGCATGACGGGCCAGGGGCTAGGGGAGGCTTGTTGTCACCAGAAGATGCCTCAGATCTTTTCCCTCCTGTCTGACCCTCCTGACCTAGGTCAACCCATCCTCCCTATGTCAGCCAAACTGGAAATGCACCCTGGAGGCCCAGCCAGTGTTTCTCTGGGTACCAAGTCAGTCCTGGGCAGCAAGAAACAGAGGCCTCCTCAGCCCCAGCAGACTCTTATTCTGTCTAGAAAATGATACCCCCAGTTTGGCACAGCGGTGAAGCCCACACCATTCACAGAAGCAGACTCCTTGGTGGAGTTGGGGTACACGAGGCAGGTGTGCCTCACTGAGGGGACTGACTTAGCAGCCCACGTTCAGAAAGGATCCAACAGGCGACAGAAGAGGCAGACAGTGCATCAGGGACCTTCCCAGACCGGCAGTGCTCGCTAAGGGTCCCAAACAGGGCAGCCTCGCTCAGCACGAAGCCCTACGTTGGCCTCTGGGATCCCCACTTTGAAGACAACTTCACAGATATTCTAAAACCACACGGCAGCCTCGCATTTGGGTCCAAACCCGAAGAGAAGAGCCACAATCTTGGGCACCATCTTGGAAAATCGCCCAAGCTTAGGAAGTGGGTTTTGGGGGTGGGGATGGGCTCAGCTCAGAGAAAAGTCAAAGGATCAGCTGCTGTATGAAGGGGTGAGGTGGGGGCACCTACCTGGACTTCACGTGTGTGGTAGGCGATGATCAAGCCCAAAAGGATGATGGTGGACAGACTGATAAGGCATTTCAGGGCCAACGAAAACATGGAGTCCTGCAGGAACAACGGAGAGAGAGGATTAGGGAGTGTGGGGAAGGAGCGGCTCGCTGTACTCTGCGGCTGTGTAAAGGAGGAGGGATGGGGACGCAAGAGGGATGGTTACCAGCCCCTCCTAGGAGCAGGTGTAGCACAAAGTCAGCCTGAGCCGCACACAAGCCCTGGACTGTGCCCAGGCTGGCTGTATCTCAGCGGCCGCCCCCTGAGCCTTGTTTTCTTGGGCTAAGTCGTATTTGCATTCCCGGGATGAACGCTACTTGGACATGATGTATTATGTTTGTTATACATGGCTAGATGCAGTTTGCTGATGTGTTATTTAGAATTTGTGCTTCCGTGCTCATAAGTCATATGAACATCATTCTTTTTTGTGCTGCTATTACATGGTTTGGGCATCAATATTATGCCAGCTTGGGTCTCTGTTTTCACTTAACAAACCCAAATCAGAGGGTTTTGGAGGCAGAATTCTTTCAGGAATGAATTCAAATATCCCGGCAGCTGCTCTCCTCTCCTGGCTTAGGCCAAGGGCAGGGGAGGAAGGCAGGAGTGGCAGAGGAGCTACTGGAGAGAGAAAGGGGAGAGCACAGGAACAGAGAGGGGTCCTGGAAGGAGAAGGACACTGGGGGTCCCTCCTGCTAGGGACTGGGCCGGGGAGGTGAGCCCTGTGGCCTCCACTGCAGCCTCCAGTTCCAGGGAAGCTTAGAGAGCCTATGGGGCGTGGTTAAGAACATGACCTCTGGGGCCAGACTGCTGGGTCCCAGCCCATCCACAGCCACTTAGGGCTACATGACCTTAGAATGCCCACTCCACCTCTCTGCAGCCATGTGCCTCCCGTGTCAGATGGGGATAAGATTCACGCCTACCTCACAGGGCCGCTGTGAGAATAAAGGAGTTAGTATATGTAAAGTGTCAGGGACAGTGCCTGGCCCAGTGTTAAGTACCCTTATCATTTACTTTGCATCCTCCACAAATCAGGGTGTCTGGGATGGAACTTGGTGCACCTCGGGGCATTTGGAAGCTGGAAGGAGAGATAGCTCCCAGTTCCAAAGGAAGGAAGGAACACAGCCCTGAGCAAAAGCAGCAGATGAGATCCAGGCTGCATTTCCAAGCAGTGACCGTGTGTGTGGCAGCCCTGCGCTCCGTTCTGAGTGGTGCATGCCACAAAAGAAATAGCCCCTGTCTTTAGGGAAGCCGGCTATCAGAATGATGCCTGATGTCTAGAAGGCACCTTACAGTTTACAAGGTGGTTTCATGTATTTGTTTTCATCCATCCTCACAACAGCCTTTTACCTTATAGATATGACAGGCTGAGGCCCAGAGGGACGGGTGGCTTGTGCCAGAATTCAAAGCCAAAAGCTCTGACTCGCAGAACAGCGCTGCCCACAAGCCCTCAGGCACACTCTTCAATGGGAAACAGAATAGAAATATGGGAAGTGTCCATTTAAATAGACCTACATGACATCATAAGACATCAAGGCTTTGGGAGGCTGAGGTGGGTGGATCACGAAGTCAAGAGATCAAGACCATCCTGGTCAACATGGTGAAACCCCATCTCTACTAAAAATACAAAAAATTAGCTGGGCACGGTGGTGCGTGCCTGTAATCCCAGCTACTCAGGAGGCTGAGGCAGGAGAATTGCCTGAACCCAGGAGGCAGAGGTTGCGGTGAGCTGAGATTGCGCCATTGCACTCCAGCCTGGGTAACAAGAGTGAAACTCCGTCTCAAAAAAAAAAAAAAAAAAAAAAAAAAAAGGCCAACAAGGAAAGGTAGAATATGATCAATTACCAGTGTGAAACCTGCAGTAGACCTAAGGGAGCTTAAGAGAGGGAGGCCACTGTGGATGAGTCAGAGACCGCTTTCAGAGGTGGATATGAGGTGCAGCTGAGATCTTCAGAGTGAGACATGTCCAATATGGTAAGAATGAGAGGAGGGCTTGGTACTTGAACCCAGGACTTCCAGGTACCCAGGGCCATGCTCTCGGCCACCCTCTGTGGGCTGAGACAGAATGAAAGTGCTCTCCCTGGTGTCTGTTCATCTCACCATTCGTTTCATTGGTACAGTTCTTGAGGCCCATTGGACATACAAAGGAAAACTAATAAAGTAACTCATCCATTCACTCACAGTTTCAACCACTTCTCCATTGCTGAGCACTTGCTAGGTATTCAACAGTGTGCTAGGTTCTGTAGGATACAGCTAGAGGGCCCCTGCCCACCAGAAGCTTCTGATCTGGCTTATTCACTAACTCTGACTTTCTACATTGTGTGGGGCCATCCAACTATGGGAAAAGGTCTCCATTATCGGCTCTGCATAAGATGATCTACACATAAGCCAGTCTTCTTTTAGCCTCTCCCTGTTCCACAGTTCCATGGAGAGCCGCCTGCAGTCACTTACTCAGCTCACATGTATGGGGGTCTAAGCAGGGCTGGGGCTGTGCTGGTCTAATGTTAACGCAGAGAAGGACAGAACGCAGGGCTGGCCCTCAGGAAGGTTCTGATCCTCACAAGCACTGCCTGATGCCTGAAACACTACCCAACCACAAGACCTGGAAGGGGCTGAAAAGAGCCGACGGTGAGTTCGGGAACACTCGGACTGTATTAGGGTGAGAAAAACCTCCATATGCGAATCAACTGGGGACAGCTCACAATGTTTCGCAGCCAGAAATGACCATAACTTTCTTCTCAAAGGGGTCTGAAAGCATCTGGGAGCATTGCACCTTCCTGGGAAGGATTTGGGATCAGCTGCACATTTCAGCCTCTATTTATTACTTTTGGCAGAAATGAATTGAAATCAGAATCCAAGTCTATTTCCATCATTTTAAAGGAAGCAGCGAAGGGAAAGGGGCCAGATGCTGTCTCTCTCCTTTGAGCCTCTTCCTTTTGTCCTGAAGCTCAAAACCTTTACATGAATAGGCAACTCCCACCTGCTTCCTAGTTTTAGCCGGTACAACTTTCCCGGCCAGCTCCAGCCCGTGGGATGACCAAGCCCCGTGAGCTGGATCAACAGGGACTGTGGATATTTTACAGATTTCTTTGCATTCTTCATTGTGTGTCAATTAAAAAAAATTAACCAACCACTTTTTTTTTTTGAGACGGAGTTTTGCTCGTTACCCAGGCTGGAGTGCAATGGCACGATCTCGGCTCACCGCCATCTCCAACTCCTGGGTTCAGGCAATTCTCCTGCCTCAGCCTCCTGAGTAGCTAGAATTACAGGCACACACCACCATGCCCAGCTAATTTTTTTTTTTTTTGTATTTTCAGTAGAGACGGGGTTTTACCTTGTTGACCAGGATGGTCTCGATCTCTTGACCTCGTGATCCACCCGCCTCGGCCTCCCAAAGTGCTGGGATTACAGGCATGAGCCACCACGCCTGGTCCATAACCAACCACTTTTAATAGTTGGAAAGGATGTCAAGGAAGTCTGGCTGAATTAGGGATGTTTTCTGCTTGGTAAAATGTTGAATCAGCATCTTCTCTCTGCTGCCTGAACGTCAATGAAGCTTGAAATCGATATGGTGCCTTGGGGGATGGCAGTGACACAGGGCTGCTATACACCCCAGGATGGGATACCGCCACACCTGTTGCCCCCATTCACTCCCTTCTGAGGGCCATAAGGGCCTCGTGGAACAGGGGAATCCAGTGGTCAACTGGTCAACCCTTCTGCTCCCCGACTCAGAACTTTTCAACACCATAGTGACAATCCTCAACACACAGGAATACTTAGGAGTTATATCCCATTGGATGAGAATCTTTTCTTAAAGCCACTTATTCCTAAATGCCCACAAATTTTCAAGTGGCTAAGTAGACTTGAGATCAGGCAGTGCTGGAACATTATGCAGCCACTGAAAAAACACTTCTGCAGAGAATATCTGAAGACATGGAGAATAGTTGATAGAATATTAAGTGAAAACTCAAACCCCAACAATATGTAGTGTATTTCCAATTACTTATATATATATATTTTTTGAGACGGAGTTTCACTCTGGTTACCCAGACTGGAGTGCAATGGTGCGATCTCAGCTCACCGCAACCTCCGCCTCCTGGGTTCAGGCAATTCTCCTGCCTCAGCCTCCTGAGTAGCTGGGATTACAGGCACGAGCCACCATGCCCAGCTAATTTTTTGTATTTTTAGTAGAGACGGGGTTTCACCATGTTGACCAGGATGGTCTCGATCTCTTGACCTCGTGATCCACCCGCCTCGGCCTCCCAAAGTAAATTTCAAAAGTTTTTTAGTGTTGAAAAAAGACTGAAAATATGTCAAATATCCTGAGACACTAGGGCATTTGTCCTTTCTCTTTCTTTTGTCCTCAAAATTTCTACTGAGAAAAAAAAATACATACACACACACATATATATATGTGTGTGTGTATATATATATACATATTTTTTTTTTGAGATGGAATTTTGCTCTTGTTGCCCAGGCTGGAGTGCAATGGCTTAATCTTGGCTCATTGCAATCTCCACCTCCTGGGTTCAAGCCATTGTCCTGCCTCACCCTCCCGAGTAGCTGGGACTGCAGGTACCCACCACGGTGCCCAGCTAATATTTGTATTTTTAGTAGAGATGAGGTTTTACCACGTTGGCCAGACAGGTCTCAAACTCCTGACCTCAGGTGATCCACCTACCTCAGCCTCCCAAAGTGCTGGGATTATAGGCGTGAGCCACACCACACCCAGCCAAGAATATACTCTTTTTATCAGTGAAAAAGTTGTTTTGCTTTTTTTTTTTAAAATATGAGCCCTGAACTGCTAGAAAGAGCCATCCGTGTAGATGGGATGATTCGTCTTTGTGATTTGGCAAGCCCCTGACTCGAGTGGCTGTAGGGAACACCCAAGCCCAGCCCAGTCCTTTGATGTAGATAAAGCACATGAGACCCCAGTCTTCTGGACCATTTCATTCCCTCAATGCCCAGTTCCTGTGATATACTACAAGATGTCATGACACTCAACTCACAGTAGGAGATCATTCGCTCCCGCCAAGCGGGGACAGGGGCTTGTGTAACCC